CATTCCAGAAGCTTGTCCCAAGAGTGTTTTTAAGGGAGCAGTTAATATCCAAGTTCATGTTTCAGAGGGGTAGGGCACCAGCAAAGAGCACAGACATTGAGCGATGGCTTCAACAGTTGATCGAAACAGTTTAACGCGTTTCCATTTCCAGTTGCGTGGATCCAGCAATGCTTCTTACTTATTTACAGTATCACTCCCCGCTCTTCTGTTTGCTACACAGATAACAGGGGAAATTGATGCTGACTATTGCCTGCCTGATGTACAGCATTGCCAATTAAGTAGGAATGAGCGAACAGTGTGTGACCAGGAATAACATTTGCCAGTGTGTGAGCTTGAATAGGAAAACATATCTGTTCCCACCTGAACAGTAGTTTAAGTGACAAGAGCAACAGATGCCTCAGCAGGACATATTCAGGATGTATTCCAGGTCAGGGCAAAGCCAGACCTGCTGGTCACTGGCCCTATGGCGATACCTCTGTCTAGGACTATGCAATGTCTCCTGTCCTATGAATCATGATAACTCCCTCTCCAAAGAGAATGACAATTTACTTGCCTGATTACACCTACTATTCAGTATACTTTGAAGATAAAACACAATAATTCACCTGCTGCTTAATGTGGCAAAACTCTACTCAAGGGCAATAAGCCTAATCCTTTGGAGATCAATCCCAGATGACTGGACTATTAGTCTGAATCCAGGAGGGGCCAAATTTGCAGGCCAAATTATTCCAGGGAAGGAGACACTCAGGTTAATTCCTGTTCTAGCCTTTCTTCCTGCCAAGATGTCACCTGCTGTGTGACCCAAAGATGAAAAACAGGATCATCTTTCAGACTCAACTATCAAAAACAAGGTCAAATCTGTATAAATATCTTCTCTTTCTTCTTCCCTTCTTTCTCTGGGCACTTAGAGACACCAGGACTTTTGCCAAGGACAAAAATGGCACTAACAAAAACCTGGTTATCCACTCATCAGAATTCAGTGAACTAATTAACTTCTCTCAGCAGAGGAGAGGAGTGCTTGACCACCAGGCTTGGTTGATTATCCAAAGAGGGAGAACCCATTCAGGTGATCAACCAACAACCTGAGACACCCAGCAGTGAGTGCTCTGAGAGAGGACAAATCTATCTGTGGGAAAATACTGGAGTAGGTGTATCAAGGATCAGATGTGATGTGGTGTGCAGAGTTGAGCTGGACTTTGACTGAGTTGCCAGTAGTTACGAGATGCTGGTGAGGACTGGCAAAAGCATCAGAGCTGACACAATACCATTCAAGCAGGATCACAGAATCACAGGATAATGTACTAGGATTGCAATTTACACTACACTGTTATATAAGGCTGTAACAGAGCAAATGTTATATTCACCATGATAAGATAGTCATCTCAAAGGCCAGTTCTAGCAAAAGCTAGAGTTTAGAGGCACTACTAATCTTCATAATTCATGGAAATGCTATTTTGACCAGGCTTTTAGGATATGTGGCTAATAAATTTTTTTGCAATTTGTTATGTACTCACTAAATTTGAATCTCTTCAGCATCCTTTTAACTGATCTACATACACTGTTCTTTTCTTTCCTCCTTTCATACACATTGACTCAAATGACACTTTATATTCCAAAACTCAGAGTGCTGCACATTTTCAAGCCCAGTGTGTGTTTTACAGCTTATGCCGTATCAACTACACAGGTGACCCAGCCTTGATTTCAACCCACCTCTGCTCAGAATTAATTTTTCCGATGTGATTTTCTTGAGCAAGTACCTGGTCCTGAAAAAGTCCTTGACAACAGCATGAGCAATAACATTGATGTTAACAACAACACTCTGCCCTTCCATTACTATTTTTATTTCAAGATTTCAAAGTGTTATATTTATTCTGCCCCATGAATCCTTGAAGAGATGGGTCAGTTTTATTCCTGTTTTGAAACCACAGGAAAAGATGACAAGATGCTGCCACTCCAAGTGGTAGCCAGATTCCCAGGAGTTCTGATAAGACCAGTTGTTCACGCTAACCAGTATACAACATTTCTTCACCCTAGCCACAGAGCTATAAGTCTGCAAGGACTTTAATGAACTTATTAATCTTCCAGTGCCCTACAGTTCAGACCAAGAGGACAAGAGAACAGACCACGCAGTCTGTCAGAGAGCTGATGATAGAAATTATAGTTCATAAGATAAAAAAGACAGCAACTTTTTCTGCTTGCAAAATACAAAAAATTATAAAAAGCCCAAACACTTTTTTTTTTTTGACAGCTGACTAGTTCTTTTTGTCTTCTTATTCTCTTTTGGCTATTGCAGTGCAGTTGGCAAAGCCTATTTCTGGGCTAGATTATTACAATACAGCACTATATGCATGAGGGCGAGGAGAGAAAAAGAAAAGAAGAAAGAAACACAGAAACAGGTTCTGACATCTAATCAGAACTGCTGTATTGATTTCGCAACTTTAGCTTTGGAGCAAGTCATAGAAACAACCACATTATCACCTAGAATTTGCTCTTCCCTAGAGTGAGTCACTTCAAAAGGAGCTCCCATAGCCACAGAAACAGGCACTCCTACACACACACACACACATGCCTGCATGGACACACATCCCACGTAACCATCTCTCCCGTGGGATGCCCTGGCTCGGGGAGGCGGGGAAGCGCTTATCACAGAGGCTGCAGGAGCCACCGATTCCGATTTCTGACAAGATGAGAATTCCGGAGCAAGCCACTGGACTAATGAGCCACCCACGCTGGAGAGCAGCGTTTCAATTAACCACAGCAGCCCCCACCACGGCAGCCACCTCCTTCCAGCTGCGTGAACAAGGACGAGAGGGATAAACAGGGACCGTGTTGTTTGCTGGGTTTGTTAATTTTTCTTTTGTGTGGGGGTAGAGTGGGGAGCTTATATAGGCGATGAGGGCAATTCTTGCCCTAATCTTTTGGTTTGTAATTTGTTTTTCATGTTGATGAAAGGAACGAATTGACAGCCCCCAAAACCAAAGCTGCCTGCTCTGGCACAGAACAGGCAGTGCCACTGTAATGTCCTTCCATGGTTTCGAGGCAGGAGAAGACAGCTCAGGTGTACAAACACTCAGTTCTGTGTAGCCTTAGTTGGAGCTGGATGAGTACTAATGGAGAAGGAAAAAAAAAAAACATGGACCATTACTTGGCGAGATCACAATAAAGAATTTCTTGGCCTTGGGAAGAGCTATAGGAAGTGTATGTTGAGTTGCTCTTTATGCGGAAATTCATCACATCTTTGCCTTCTTGGGGCTCTGCCCCACAACAGTTCCTGTCTTGTATCTGCCATCTTTCTTGTGTGGGGAGTCATGTCCTCCCCCTCTAGCCCAAGATTCAGGGCTGTGACCTTCTCCAGACCACCTAGTAAGCCCAAATTCATCCCAGGCTTGGCACTGCTGCTCGCTCTGCAGCAATGAGGGTCAGTGAGAACCAGACAGCCTTCAAGGAACAACACCAAACTGGAAACACAGGCGGGTTGGATGGCTCTTTGCCCCAGAGTGAGATTTTGCTGCATCTCCCATCAGTTCTTGGGGTAAACAAGAGTCACCATTCCTGCCACGTCCTGCCATGTCCCATACGCCTGACCCAGTCTGCCTTCCAAAACCGCTTAAACCAAGATACACATTTCTACCCTGCTTAAGGAAAATGTTTCCACACATACTTACCTGTGTGGGAATCGGCACGCATTTCCCTGTCCCCATCCTGTAGTTTAATTTCTGACATACTCCTAAATGGACAGACATAATTTTGAAAAGGGGTCTTTGAACACTCAAAATGCTTGCAGGATTTTGCACACCTCAATTACTGCTGTGCTCCCAACAGATCATATTTGTGAGCCGCGTGTCTGCTGGCTTCAGCCAGGTTATCCACTACAGTCTCACTTCTTCCCAAGGAGTGAGGCTGGAAGAAGCATGGCAGCGTGTCTAATGAGCACTGCTGTGCTGCGCTGCGAGGCTCCTCAGTCACAGCCCAGAGGCGGCGTGCCTGGATGCAAATTAACCCGCTCCCTACCCATTCCACACCTTCCAGATCCACGCTGTGCAGAGGACTCTGCAAGAGTTCAGCAATCACACTGTCCCAATGGGTCAAAGTCTCCAGGGGGAAGTACTCTTACAGTAACAGCTCCTTCTAGACCAAAGCATTTTACCCAACTGCCTTCCCCCTGTCTGGTTCGAAGTAGTGAGCACACACCCCCATGTGTCAAAACACACCTCAACAGCATGGGAGCTGAGCAAGCACTCACTTCTCTAGAGGGAGAAACCACTGCAGGGAAAGATTGGAGACAGTCACCCAGTATGGACACCAGCAGCATCCCTCCCTCTACAATCACCTTTGTGCACAGATATTGCCCTCAAGCAGGTCCAGGAGCACCATCCCATTGCTGAATACACCACGCACTCAACACACCACATGCGAAGAATCAGGTTTCTGGCACTCACAGCTTTATTGAATGGACACTTCTTGGGAGTATGCAGTCCCTGTTTGGGTCTGCCTAGCACTGTTTTTCAGGTAAAATGGTTCAAGCACATCCAAAAATGACAGTTGAGGTAACTAAGCTGAAGAAAGGCTTGTGGGGTGGAAACAGCATTAACATTCATTTGCTCCCTTTTGAGTGCTTGACTTCATATACTTACTAACATACCCTGAAGGTATTTTACACATATGTAGTGAATGCAAACACACCCCTGGTAGAGCTGCTGTTCTGCACTCATCCATGGAAAGCATTATATACAAACACACACATAACACCTTTCCCTTCCAGTTGTAACATGCCAGCCATAGGGTATCCTGCCCTGAGCCTTGTGTAGCCAGACCAATTAAATATAAACTGTCCCCAGACATAAAGGTCCCCAGACAAAAGAGATGTGTCTGCTCAGCCCCATAAGAAAGGTCAAGTCTGCCTGAAAGCAGCACTGTGTGTGTCAGCCCTCCTCAGCCCACAGGCTTTTGTGTACACAGGCATTCAGACAGGCACTCCAGTACTGTGTGGTTATACTCACACTGCACGTTGAGCTGCACCACGGCTTCTCGGGGTCTGATGTTAAAGCCATTGTACCTGGCTGTCTGACACTTATAGGTCCCACTCATTTCTCGGCTCACACTCTCCAGGCGCAGCTTCCCATCGTATGTCTCCACCGTCATTGTCCCTGAAGGCATGGGGGTTTCCTTATCTATCCGAGACCAGATGACGGGTGGTTTGGGCTTCCCTCGAACCTCGCACTGCAGGTCAGCCCTGGAGCCCTCCCGGACGGTGATGGTGGATTGGCCTTTAGGGACACTGATGGTTGGTGGCACTAAAAGGGGCACAAGACGGGAATCGTTTTACATGTGAGTTTCCAGTAAGCGAGGAACATTCTTCAGATGCTTGTGTTTGAGTCACACCAACAGCCTTGAACTCCAAAGGTGGCCACTTCAAACACTGCAGCCTCTATAGGAACACACTGCCCATGCAAGTCCTTGTACAGGAGCCCTGGTACTCTGGGGCTGCAGGGTACCAAGGAAGATTCCAGGTTCTACAACACTGTATCTCCATACCAACAGCAAGTGTGGACTGTATTGGAACATTGCCCCAGCTCCCATCCTTCTGCTTGCAAAATGTTGTCCAGCAGCAGGACTAACACCAAGGAATCCAAAGGCAAAAGCCTCTCTGACAAATTTCTGATTGGCCAAAAGACTGCAATTCAGTGAATTACCCGAGTGGAACTGCAGTCCTTTTGGCCAAGAAATAAAAGTCTTATCTGCCAAGGCATCTAGTCCCCCTTTATCCAGGTTAGACCAAACCTAAGGCTTACAGGATTAGTGCTTGCAGATCATATTTCCAGCCTTATTGGAGATCCAGGATCTCTGCTTGCTCCTAAACCACAGCAAGGAGCCAACTCTGTTAAGTGTCTTTGTTTATCCAATGATAACATTGGTTATCTCTGGCTCACGTGAGTGAGAGATCGGTCCCAGCAATGATCATTTCTAGCATTGCTTCCAGTTTGGGAAGAGCTCACCCAGCAGAACTGTTGCTGAGTTGAGGCTAGAGCTGGAGACACTCAAGGAATACCGAGCTATTAACTGACAAACAAAACTTTGCTCATAAACAACGAAATCCAATGACTACAGCTAAAGGGTGCAAAGGTGTCGGTGGGAAGAGGCTTGTTGCTCACATTCCCATCCTCCAGGAAGAGGATGTTTGTGCTAAACCCCATGTAATAGTCACATTTGATTTATATTAGGCTTCAGAGTTAACAGGACAACTGAGGTAAATTTGGCAACAATCATTTGCTGAAAGTTCCTTTTCAGTCCTTCTTGCTGACAGCACGGACACCTGGATTGCCACTTCCATAACTGCAAGGATCACATACTTTGTTTCCATTTAAATCAAAGTCTAAAACTACAGGGGCTATAACAAGTTGATCTGATCAAGTTAGCTCAGTTCAACTCCAGCAAAGTAGAATGTGCTACAGTAATTGCACACGTTACAGCACACAGCTACTTTACAAGCAAATTTAGGATGGCTCCAGCCCAATTTCCCAGTGAAGCCACTTCCCTATGCAAGAGGGAGGCCACGTTTTCAATTTGCAGGTCTCCTGTGGGCTGAGGAATCTCATCACACCCTGTCCCACACAGTGTGAAGGGACGACAGTGCTCTAAGCAACCAACACCACCGGCAGCCGCTCACCTGGCGAGAGGCAATTTTCTCTGTGGGGAAAAGGTGTAAATTGTATTTGAAGATTATTATTTTATTTTTTTTTTAATTAAAACTATCTCCTTGGAGCCTCTCAGTGGAAGCAGCCACCTTGGTGAGCTCCGGCTTTGCTCACTGGGGGAAACATGGAGCTACTGTTGCCACTCCACTGCTCTGATCCTGCAGTCTCGGGAAAACCCGTTGGCTTTTTGTGTGGGAAGCACATGCCAGAGGTGACTTGTTGCTTTTTGTGGGGATACCGCATGCTGGACAGCCTCAGCTGTGCATGGAGGGCTGCCCTGGCAGGGATGGCCATTTTCACTCCTTGGGTTACAAAACTGTCCTACTGCCCCAGGCTGCCAAAGAAGGTCTTCAAAACACCGCAGGCTGCCCTCCTGCCCTTCCCCACCAGCAGCACCCACACAACCATGTGGGGCTCGCCGTCCACCAAACAGGTCAGAAGACAGGGCACCTTGCCATCGCAGACACCTCCATTAAGGTTGGTGTCTGGAACAACAGCTGTGCCAACAGACCAGCCTTTTGGTGGGATCATCCACGGTCTCCCAGCCCTTCACAGCCTCCTACCTTTGCAGCCTTAAATACAACTGCATTCTGCCATCTAGTGATCTTGGGCAAAAAAAAATTGCTCCTGGTGGCAGCAGCTGCACAAGGTCGGAAGAGTTGGCTTTGCACCAGGACTGGGTTGTTCCCCTGGTTTTGTTCCCTGCTGGCACAACAGTGTTGGTATCTGCTAGCACAGAGAGCGCCCTATCTCCCAGGGCCACTAGCAAAAGGAAAGCACCACCCTCCGGTCTTTAGTGGGTCTCTGGTGTGTTCAGGGCTCAGTCTCCAGGCCGCTAGTGAGGCCTAGTGTAGTCCAGTTGGGAGTAGCCTGGCCCCAACATTTCTACTGGGAGACAGTAGAAATACATCAACTTTCTGCTGGAGGGCTGAAGTGAGCAGTGTTCAGAATCGGGACTGGGACCAGCCTGGCCAATGGGTCCAGCACAACCAGGGATTAAGAAGAAACTTTCTGTGAAGGTTTAGGAAAAATTCTGTGGATAGCTGGCTCCCCTTAGGAATCTTCATCAAATTTAGTAATCTAGCAGCCCAATGCTGCTTTGTGCTGTACCGTCAAGGTCCTGGGAAGGCAGTAAGACAACATGGATATAATGGAGAGCAGAGCTGGACCCACCAGTTCCCCAGAAACAAAAAGATAGCCCTAAGACCCTGTATTTCAGTTCCCAAGGTGACCAACAAACACACTTATGGATTAGTTCTGTCCTCACCAAGCCATAGGGTGAAGCTTTGACCCTGATTTTAAAGGGGGGAGGCATTTATAACACTTGAATTTAAAGGGGGAAGGCGTTTATAACACTTGAATTCCTACAGAGAGTGCCCAAGACAGACTGCAATTGTAATCCAGTAAACACTAAAGCTCTTCACAGAATTTGCTATGACAGATGATACCAATCTCCTGGCCACAGTTCTGAAAAAGAGGGACATTCCTCATAAGCAATGCCAAAGAGAGGAAATAGCAGCTTGCTTTCTCTTTTACTGCCTTTTAAGCAAAGGGACTTTTGAAATTTGGTGAATTATCACTCTCTCCTCCTTCCTTCACAATTTGGAGGTTTCTCTGAACAATCACACTCTAAATCTGTCTCTGTAGCTTTGGCTGGATTGCACTTTGGATTTTTTCAGAGGGAGAAAACACAAAGGAAGATTTGCTTGGTGCATTAAACATCTAGCAGAGGAGCTGTAACTATGACCCATCTCCAGTCCCAGCCAAATACTTTTCCCTACTGAGATTCAAGATACTCATGTGAGGTCATTCAAAAAGCCAGAGGCTTTGAGGTAGGGGTCTGTCACAGAGACTTGAGTCTCACCTGTCTCTGAGGAGATGTTCACCTCCACACTGAGGTCAGGAATGGGTGCTCCTGGGAAGGTAGCCACACACAGGTAGGTGCCATAGTCACTGAATCTCAGGTCAATAATCTCCAAGCTGCAGGTCACAGGTGGGAGCTCAGGGTCATTTCGGGTGATGAGCAACCGGTCTGAGTATCTTGCTGGTTTCCCATTCTTGTACCATGAATAGACAACCTTCTCCTGGGGGACAGCATCCACATGGCATGAAAGCTTCAAGTCTTGACCTAACTGGATGGTCTCACTCTCTTTGATCACATCAGGGGTGATTTGGAACGTAGCATTCTTCATGGCTGGGATGAATGCAAGTGAAAAGCTGGTTAGGGACAGCAAAGTGTCTTGCATGGGACAGGACAACAATGTTTTGCTCCTCAGGAAATCAACATCTCCATGTAGTATCTGTCTGAAGGCCTCCCCCAGTTATACTCCCACAAAATATCCCCAGGGCCTCTCATGTGGCAGTCTAGGATTGGTCTCTAGTTCAGGATAGTGTTACAGCCTGGGATGAGGTGGCAAGCTGTGCTAGCACAGGTGTTGATCTGGGACCAGAGAAGCTTGCACAGGCATTTCTCCAGATACTAATTGCTGTGAAGTATCACATTCGCCCACAGCTATACAGGAACAGGCAGGAAAAATGCAAATCTAGCTCTCCCACCCCAAAAGCCCATGTTCTGAGAAAAAGAGCAACTTACACCGCACCAGCAGGTTCACTATCTTCTTTGCTGGGTTCCCCACATTGTTGATGGCCGTGCAATTGTAGTAGCCAGAGTCCTCCACATGGATCCTCCAGATGCTGAGGTTGCCTCCTTGCACAAGGCTATTGAGGGGCATTGGGCCAGGAGAATGAGACCAAACCACTTCTGGCTGTGGGTCACCACCCGTGAGAGAGCACTGCATAGTGATGTTGTCACCAGGGTTGACCACCAGTGTCTCATTGACAGACAGCTTCAGAGCTGGTGGGGCTGGAACAGTATAAAGAGGGACACTTCTGAGCTTGAAAAAGACCCATCTGGTTGCCTGTGCACAGCTTCATACTTTCTAGGATTTGTTTTTGAAGATAGCTGGTTTGAGTACGGAGAGCTGAAGGGATCTATGGATTTATTACAAATGCAAGGTCCTTGTGAACCTAAAGTGTGATCATTACCTTGTCTCTGGGTTGGAGCACTCTGGTCTGCTACGATTAGGAAACACCACAGGCAGGATCTCACACAGCTCCAGAAAGGAATACCTAAATGAGATACCTAAAATACTTAAACCACTCCATTAGTGTTTAGGGTTGAGGCATAAGCTAGGTATGATCTTTTAGCAGTGTCCAGTGCAGGTTCTCTAGGGCTTAGGAATCAGGTCAGACAAAAGGCCTAAAGAAAACCCTTTGCACAGGTGGTAGTAATAGCAATCAGACAAAATTTGACAGTGGAAAATCCAGGGCTAGAGGCTTCTTGACTCCTGACAGAAACAACTGCACCAAGGCAGAAGGGCAACAGAAAGCCACTGTGGCTCTGCATTACTTACTTGCACTGCATTCAGCCCACTCCTCTGCAGACACAACAGTTCAGAACTTTAATTCTCCCTGTATTTAACCCCCCTGACTCTAGGCAGACTCTGCAGAAGCAGCACTGGAGAAAAGACTCAACTAGTAGCTCCTCCTAGAGCACCTGGATCACCCTTGCTGCAATGTTATTGTATGAATCACAGTTAGTCTGCTTATGCCTTGGGCAGAAACAGCACAGTGAATTAAGCCCTGAGAAGGAGTTTAAAAAAAAAAAAGAGAAAAAAGGAAAAAAAACCAGGAGAACAAGAGATCATTGTCACAAGGCATAAGAAGTTGCAGCCATGGACTGAGCTTAGCATTTCAAGACCCAAACTAAAGAATGCTAGGAAGCTTCCTGAGATGTCAGTGTTTGCTGAACAGTTCTCACAATCCCAAGGGAAGTTCAGGCAGAACAACAGGTGCATGTCCAGTCACAACCTGCTCCCTCTGCCTGACCACCAAAGCTCCACCCTGGTGGAGGTCAAGGAGAAAGGACATGCTCAAAGGAGCCTGCTTGAGCCCAAGAGCTGTTTATGTTCAAGGACAGTTGGGATGAAACCACTCCTCCCATACAGAGTTACTATTCCAAGAAGGAGTTTTAGGGAAAGTCTACCATTTAAAAAAAGAAGCTCAGCTATCCCATGGCACACATCTCCATCTCTCACACCCAACTAGACATCTTTGGGAGGCAAAGCGCTTTGCAAACAGCTGGCCCTTGCAGCTCAGAGTCTGACACAGAGGACAAGGACCTGTCTGCACCATAACAGACCATGAACAGTAGCTCTGCACCTGCTCTTAACCTCCTTCACCTCCACAGGTGTCAAATACACTTTTCTGTAGACCTGGTGGGACTGTCTTTCATGCACAACTTAACTAAGACTAATTCAAAATGTCTAGATAGCCTCTCCTCTGAATACCCTAGTATCTAGCTTTGGTTTATTTTATTTCTGAACCCTTCTTACTACATCCCCTTCCAGGAACTGATCCAAAAATTTTCCCTTTGTATTCATCCCATAAAAAGCCTTTTAAAGCCCTTGTCAGTACCATCACTGGCTCCATCCAGCCAGAGCTGAGAAAGTAGCAGTCCCCAGCACAAAGGCAAGGAGTATGTTTTAAGTAACAGCCATAATAATGCAAAATAAGACATTGTTCCATATTCATGAAGCCTGATTTAACAGCATCATTATTTCTGCCTCTTCTCTCCCTGGACCCTGTGTTAATGAGCTGTGCTGGATTTGTGTTGGATCTCTGAATTACAGCCCATACAAACGAGGCAAAGAAGACCGCTGTCTCCTCAGCACCAGCACCATAATTCAGCAGCGCAACTACTGCCATGCTGGGATATTGCTCTGGTAACACTGAATCAAATGTCCTCTCCTGGGCCATGGGACATGCTACTTGTGACAGAGGTGGCCAGCTGTGCCTAGGGAAGAAGGTGGCTCCTCTGCCACCTGCACTGGCCATTTTGAGGCCAGTGGCTGGAGTCCTTGAATTTTGGGAGGCCACAGCCTGTACTCAGAGCCACGGACAGTTCTATTTGCTGGAGTCTTGGAAACAGTGTGCAAGGGTTAATGAACACTAATCAGCAACGAAAGGACCTGTACAACCTCCCCAAACTCCAAGTCGTTTCATGAGACACTATGAAGCCCAGAAACACCACAGCTCAACTCACTGTGGTCTGGCAGGACACATTCCTGTCACTAATACGCTGTCAGCTGAGGGCAATTGACACCAAATAGCTGTTCCTGCCCTCTGGCATTGAACTGGTCTCAGGTTCACAGGGCACCAAATGACAAATGCAGCATCTTTGCCTGGGAATCCCTATCCACACCCATCAGAGAAAGGCCTACGTCCAGAGAGAAGGCAGGGCTGGGCAGCACTAATCAGAGGTCATGGAGGCTCTGGTTAAGACTCAGGGCTTTTGCAACATTTGATGTGCACACATCCAATTAACACTCATATTGCCCAGTTCTGGGCAAAGCAACATAGAAAAAAAGTGGCATGCTGGTGCAAGCACTGCCTCAGGGCAGGTTGTGTGCGCATACGAGGAGGAGGCAGAGAAACTGCAAAGATGCCACCGGCACAGCTCCAGGCACCAAGCTCCCATGGAACGCCAAAACAGAGCCCCGGTTGTGGCAGCCTGCACAGGCTCCCAATCCCACGCCTGTCAGCAGACAGAGGTTAACAGTCTGCAGACATTGTTATGCAGGAGATGAATCTCATTTATTTGTAACCTGTGGCAATTCTTTTTGTTCTTGGCTCAGAAAACCTGCTGGCAGAGTCCGCTGAGCAGCGAGGGGACCATTAAAAACAAAGAGTCGCTTTCAATTCCCTTTGAAGTCCAATTTGCTGCAGTAAAACTGCAGGAGAATTAACCTGCTGGGCTGCTTAATTTTGCAGAAATCGAGGAAGGGGAAAACATCAGCCTGACCCTGCTATAGCAGGTGATGAGAGCCTGGTGCTGAGCTGCTCCTGTGGCTCTGTGGCCCCAACCTGCTGCTCTAGAGCCACAGAACAGCACCAGGGCAGAGGAGGAGCCGAGGAAACCTTCCCATTAAGGCTGCAGATCAAGAACCCATCCCCTTCTTAAAGGGCCAAGCTGCTAACATAGAGCTTGGTAGAAGCACGTCTTGATGGACACGGTGATCAGCCCAAAGGCCACTGCCAGAAGATCCAAAGTGAGCCAGCTAAGGAAGAGCAAAACAAGCTGTGAAGAGAAGATTCCCTTGGTCTGACATGTCCTGACTCACCAATTCCCCTCAAGGTCTACAGTGCTTGGGTCTATAAATATTTGAGATATTGATTTCCATGCACCACAGCATCCTTTGGGCCCACCTCATTTGGAAAGGTGAAGACATCCTGAGCTAAGCTGCTCAGGATTTTGGGCACAGCCAAGGCTACAGAGGCTGGTAAAGCACAAGTGCAAGAGGGGAAAAAAAAGGCCTATGCAAAAAAGGAGAAAATTAAAGATTTTTTCTTTACACATTTTCTCATCTATGCACAAATCTACCTACGGGGCAAGTGAGCCAGATAATATCTCATGTTAAATATACGTGTGTTATGTAACACAAACCCTGCTCACACCACAATGTCAGTTTCTTTTTCACCACCAGCTTTTAATACAATTTGCTAGGAACACATTTTCTGTGGCCCCTTTGAGCTTTTAGCGTCAGGCTCCAATGTAACTACATATAAATGCACATCTATAACTAAACAATGGGAAAAAAAAAAGAACCAGATGTATGTGCTATGTGGCCCAGGTTCAGAACTTAGGTAAGTAATTAAGAAGTTGGTGTAAATTCAGACATATCACTGGCTTCTGATCTGGTTATAGCCTAAAAATACATTTTTCCCTGTTCACTCAGTAAGGGGGCTGTACTGAAATGAATGGTAGTTTCTTTGTGCTTGGGGTGGCAGGTGGGAGCAGACATGAAGCGAAATTTGATTTTCTAACTCTTCAAAGGTAAAGACACAACAAAGCTGTATGAAGAAGCTGTATGAAGAGCTGTATGGAATCCTTTTCTTCATCATGAGCACAAGGCAAGTTTTTACAGGGAATATGCTAGCACTTTCTACAGTCTCATCCTGAGTTAAACTGAGGCAGTGGTGTGAGTTGCTTGAGACTTGTTCAGAGATCTTGCTATATAAAGAATATTTTTTTCTGACATTAGCTACAGTTTACTTTCTTAAGCTCATTAGTTTTCTTCTTTCTACATAAAATGATGCAACTATTGCTCAGCACCTTGGGCTCAAGTCAGACCAATAAACATAATTTATACAGTATCAACAATACCCCATCAACAGTTGGCAACATCAAAAGAGTTCTGTTTCCACTGAACAAAGATGACACAAGGGATGCAAACTGCTTTGTACTACATTAGAGAGGTGAAAAATTCAAACTACAATGTGTTTCGTTCTGATCATGGAGTACTCCACAGCTGGAAGCGATTTCCTGATGTTTACTTATTATTTCAAAATATTCAACACATGTGGGGGCTTTGTGGATGGGATTTTTTTGTGGGTGTGGTTTGGTTTTGTTTTTTAATGGACAGGCTGCACTCGTGTCCCTGCAAGTAGTTGGTACATGACACTCGATTATCAGCCAGCTATTGCAGGTCAAGCAGGAGGTACCAAACTGATTCCGTTTGCAACTAAAGGCACACTCAAGCACTGCCGGTATGAATACCACTGTAAAATATATTTATTGGGAGGGCACCAGAGATATTTGCTTTCCACAAACATCATCACCAGCAGAGCCCATTAGCTGGGAGGTCCTGAGAGCGCAGCCTCACAAACCAGGCCAGAGTCGCACATGGATGAATTATTTGTAAGAACTTCTGCAGCATCTGCCCTGCTCTGGACTGTATTGAATCTATTTTTAAAGTCACTTAGAATTATAAATAAATAAAACAGTGCCTGGATTAAAACCTACATAGTGCCTCAACACCTACAAGTAGTCTGTTTTAATGATCTCACGGGAGGCTCGGCCAAGGCACCAACTACATGTAGAGATGTAAGAAATTAGAGCATCCTTGGACACAAGACTTCTGCATGAAGGATTTGTAATCCTAGCAGCTATGCATATGAATTGAGGTGCTGCAGGCTCTGGACATGGTGCTAGGTTACCCTCCTGGAGGAGTAATGGCTGTTGAGCAGGCGAGGGATCAGAGGGCTGCAGGGATGCTGCATCATCCCCCTTCTTACCTGTGGTGTTTGTGAGCTGGAAGGTGATGGATTTATCAGGGATGCTGCAGACGTTGCGGACAGACACTTGGCACGTGTAGCTGGCGTAATCCTGAGGTCGCAGGTTCTTCAGCTTCAGGACTTTGGTTTCACCCTGGGAGAAGGGAAAAAAGACACAAGTGTACAGAGCACAAGATCATCATTGCCAAGTCCATAACTTGTCCCAAAGTTTACAATTTACCTGCAGCTCCCACCAAAACCTCAGAACTGTGCATATGCCATGAGCCCCTCGCTATACATAAAGGAGACAAAATGTTTGCAGTTGCAACTCCACCTCCAGGATTTCTCAAAACACCCAGCAAACAACTGACATTTAACCTGACATTGCCAAGCAGGTCTAGGCACCATTTCTCATCAACTGCGGTCAGAATCATCCTGTGGAACTTGAAATACCTTAAACATCCCAGAACAGACCCTGAGCTTCACACCAAAAGGTTGGTAGGAACCCAAGGGGACACCTCTGTGGTCTCAACATTGCAAATCAAAGCAGATTCAGGCATTAATGCTGGCCTAAATATGACAAGTTCAACAGCTAAGTCAAAGAAATGTTCAAAGAAGCTCCCCAAATTTCTGATCTCTCTTCTCCAAATTCTAATCTCATTTATGCTGGTGTAAATCCAGAGTGGCTGCATGGACTCGAATAGTATTTTCTCATACTATGGTAATAAACAAACAAAATCACTCCCTGACACTCCATTAGTTACTGGCTTGTTATAGAAATATAATCAAGTTGTTAAATTAATAATAGATAACGTTCTGTAGATTTTAATTTATGGAATGTGGAAAAATCTGAGATGCATCCTGTGGTTTGAACACCCTGCAACTCATATGTCTTCCCACAACAGCTTGCTGCTGTTGTTCCACTTGTCGCTGTTGTTCCCCTTGTGTTCGTCTAAATCTCTTCTGAGGAAACCATTCCATAATTGCCTGCAAATGTGAGAAGGTGTCAGCACAACAAAGCCCCTTGAGGACAACCCCAAGGGACTGGACGATGAGCTCAGGCATGCTAATATGCAGAGAACAAGGATCCAAACTGAGTAAATTAGGAATAAAAATACCTAGGAGACCATTAACCCTATGAAAGCCCTGTCCCATGAGATTTGCTGCTGTGCCACACAAATGATGGCACTTGCGATGTGCATGTCAACTATTTACTTACAGGGTCATATGTATCCTGTTTATTGATTAGTAAATGTTGTGTAAACGTGTATAAACCTTCAATGTAAATAAGTTTTAAAAAGCTTAAACAGTAAAGCCTTCACCTCCTTTTAATGTAAAAGTCTACCCAAACACGACACCGATACCAGATCATCTCTAAGACAATATTACAAGCCTGTGTGAAGGGTGCTTTGTTAAATGTATGTGTCTGAGCTCCAGCAAGATTCTTCCCCTCCCAAAAGAGTGTGCTTTTGTTAACTTCAGCTCTTAACCAACCCAAACTCACAGGTTTATGCTGGTGCTAAGGAGAGACTATAAGGGCATGCCTGTGTGAGCCCAGCAGTCCTAGCACCCTCTCTCAGAGCTGGGAACAACCCATCATGGTGGGAACATCACCTGATAGGAGCTGCAGGATACTGGGTCATTTACGCATTAACCCTGCAACATGGTGAAATTCTGCCAGATGCCTTATTTCGCTGAAGAAAATTATCTCAAGTCCTAAGACATTAAGCAGTGTCTCATGTTAATTACACTGAGTTTAGTGAAAGCTGGAAAAGCCATGAGTGGCTTTCTCTAAGGCCAGGGATGTCCTGGTTGGATGCCACATAGTAAAAGCTCTAGACAAAGCTCTCTTCAGGACCCAACAGCAGTGCTGACTTACAGTGTTTCTGTAAATCTGCTGCTAACCTGCAGCCCTCTTCTCTCTCCTCACCCCCCTGAATGTTTCCATTTGGCTGCCCATTTCCATGACCTGCAGAGATGGCGTGTTTCAATAAAATATGAACACGACTACATTAACTGAAAGGTTGCCTGAAGCGCTGCTCAGAAATGAAACTCGGCCAGAATGCACTCAGGGCCCAGCTTTGGGAGCATGAGGAGGTGTGTGGGATGAAACAGGTCCCCTGAGGAGCAGCCTTTCCAGCCCTCCCTTCCCACCCATCGCTGCCTCGTGCTGCTGAACAGCCTTGCTGTAGGCACTGGGTTGGTGAGCATCTGAAGGACATTCAGAGCCAGAGCTCTACTTAGGATAACATGCCCAGAGTGCCTTGGCAAAAGAAAAATTCCCCTCCATCTCCCATGGTATTGGTGGACTCATTACTGTGCAGAAAGTGGCATTCAGAGGGGAAAGTCCAACATAGGCAAGCTGGAGAAGAAGAAAGGGTGTGGATTCCCTGACACAGGATATCACCCAGAAAGTGCCCAGGGTCATAATTTGGCTCGTGGATCCCACAATAATTCCTAATACTCACACTGCTAAACAGGAAGGAATTCCCTTGGTTTAGGGAGCATTGGCACTCAATTAAGAAAAAAAATTAAAAATGGGAGAGAAGAACTGATCTTGGGATTGTTTGCTTGGATTTTAGTCTCAGCCACCCAATAGCCACATATTCTCCTTACGGGAGTTGTGACCTGCTTTCAGGGACGGTGCCAAAAAAGGGGAAGGAACTTCTAGGCTATCGCACTCCCTCCTGCTGCTCTGCTCCTCTTATCCCCCAAGAACCCGCATACAGAGGCAGGCTCTACCAGCTCTTCCGGAGACAGTGCTCCTTGCAGTGGCCACCACCCTCTCTCCCAGCATCGTAATCCACACGGGGAAACAAACACCATCTGGCACAGAGTGCCCTGCATCAGCAAGATGCTCAACACAAGCTGGTGGAGGTTTGCTTTCTTTTCACCTGCGTGTAGAGGGGTTCATAGATGTCCACGCCATTATCCTGACTGTGGGAAAGTGTCTCGGCTCCCCGTTTCCAGATGAAGCGAGCTGGTGGGTTGGAGTTGACAGTGCACCGGAGGAAGACAGTCTTCTCCTGGTAGAAGCTGCCACGTACATCACTGATGGTCTGGTGAACGGTGAGAACAGGTTCATCTAGATCTGGAATAAAGGTAAGGAGGGCTGCAGAAGTTGTTAGTGAAGCTTGGTCTGCACGTACAGCCCGCAGAATAGGTGATGCTCCAGGGTGCCACAGAGGGGAGAGGAAGCTCCCACACATTTGGCTGATGAGCACTGCTGAATTAAGAGCTGATCTGAGGGCAAGTAACACAAAAGACATCTAGAGGGAACAGAGAGGAGAAGCCAAAATTCTTCCACTCACCACACAACCTTCAGAGAAATGAAAGCACCCTCTGGTTTGCAGGTCCCATGGGGTCCTCAAGCACACTGCCTGCCTGCCACAAGCCCCTCAGACCAGTGGGCTGTTTCACTTTCCCCAATAACATCCCAAACCCCAAATCATTGCTCTCTACTTCAGTGAGAGGTCAGAAGGATCCCAGGAAAATCTGCTCCATCATCATTTCTTCTGTTTCCACTTTCCAAATCCCTCCTGAAATCACAGGGCTAAGCCCATGGCTGTGACATGACAAACATCCAAGTCGACTCCAGGGCAAGATCAAGGAGTAGAGATGGAGGGTCCTCTCCTAGACAGGAGGAAGTGTTGCGGTGTGCCATGGAAGCACACAATGCAAAATACTGTGAAAGGTATGTACATTTTCTCTTTATTCCTATTACTATATCCTCTGTGTATTTTCGTGTTTTCAAAGTCTGTACTGACTCTTCCTCTTCAGCAACTTCTACTCATTACATCCTCATCATCCACTCTTAAACTGATCAGATTCTTCTGTTTTGTCCCTTTACATAAGATGGTCCTTCTAAGTCTCTCACCATGCCTGCACCAGACACGCAGCCATCACAGATGAATAAACGGTTATCAGTCACTTCACCAGCAAGGACACAAGTAGCAGCTGTGCAGGGAGCATACTTTCTCCATCCGCTCAGAGTATATTGACCTCCTGCTAAAAAGGGATCATGTTTTTGAGTTCTTGCACCAGACATCAATGTTCAAATATCAAGGAAGCATGAGGAAAACCTCAGAGCAGGCAGATCTTTCTCCTCCCAGAACAACTTTGAGACTGATTGGGCTTGAATATAAAGATCTCATTTGACAAGACGGGGCCAATTTGCCCCCTAAAACTTAGGCCAAACCTAAGCACGTTTTATAAGGCATCTCTTGAGCTCAGTTGAAGAAATTCTACATTTTCAGAAGCCTTATGACTTTATTTTCAACTGCTAAAAAAGCAAGGCGCACACACACAGTATCTTCTTGTCCTGCCAGCACTGTCTTCTGCACATGATACAAAGAGGAAGAGATACAAGCTCATCAGCTCCTGCTCTCCTATGCCACTTAATTTTCACAGTATTTTATTTTAGAGATTCGTAAGTTTGGAGATCTGACTCCCAGAAAGTAAGAGGGAAGCAGAGATGAGTTTCTGCTAACATGCCATCCAAATGATGCATGTTCTCTGCTGAATCACAAGTGTCATCTTGTGAATTTGCATATTTTAATGAGCTGCATGCTTGGTAGACAGCAATTGTAATCGGACTTGAGATTTGTCTGCTTGACCACACCATAGCTCAGAGATATGAGGAGAGTCATTAGGAGAACAATGGCAAGGCACAAAAAAAACCCGAACCCAAGGCTGAAGAAAAACATTCAAGTGGAAAAAAAAAAAGACTCCTCTCTGTATTGCGCTGTCTCCATGTGGCCACAGGGTGACTGAATTTTACACTGAATTCTCTTGGACCAGGACTTCGGGCACAGCCTCTCCTCTTTCCTTTTCCTTTATCCTTAACCCTCCTATATTTGTTCACACTTTAAATGAGTAACTATAGCTCATCCCTCAGATGCTTCATTCTCAGCAGGATACATGGCAAAACACTTGCCTTACTGATCAAAGAAGATACTCACCATTTAGGTCTCCTGGCTCCCAGCTACTCCCCACGCAGAAAAGAACGTCTTTCTTTGGTTGCTAAACCTTTCCTCCCTCGAATCTTTCAGCCTTCGTTCATAGCAGTCAGCGCTAAGTCTAGCCCTCCTGAGAAAAGCTAAAATAAGACCTACAACGATATGTATGTCCTTGATGTACGGGTAATGCCACTGATGTCAGTGAGCTGCACAAATGATAAATTTGGCCCAAGGCTGCTCATGGAGATGATCACATGGGATGTTTCATGCGCAATATAAGCTTGTAAACATCCATTCTTTCTTTTACTTTACTTTTTCTCTCTCCCACATGGAAATACTCTGAACAACAGCTGCCTCTCTGCTAGGATCTAACCAATACTTTAAAGCCTCACTTGATGCTCTCTTGAGGCAAAGGAATAACTTCCTACACAGGTTAGCGTTTCCAGTTTCATATCCTCTTGGCACCAATGATGCTCTCTGCACAACCTTGCTGTCTGATACTAAAAGTATGAGTGAGGACTACCACTAGCTGTCAACGACACCAAGGTTCACGTGAAGGTGATTACTTACCTCTAACTACAAATTCAGATGTGAGAAAATAAGGGTCTTGTTTTTATATTCTAGTTCATTCAGCTGAAGGTTGCCTGGGTGAGTGTTCAACAAAAAACACTATGGTTTTTCCTCTGTGTTCCCTTGTACCTACTGCAAATATGAGCAGAAAACAGTGTCTTTCTTCTCCCAAAACAAAGTGAGCAGAACATAGGTGCATTACCAAGTCCATCTGCGGAGTAGATGTTAGTATGAGAAAGCCCTTGGCCACCCCATTAGCCCCACAGTTCTACAGGTCAGAGCTGCATGAGGGACCATGGGACACTACATCACTCTAGCTCCAGCCTGCACATCAGAGGTAAAGGGAGAACCCTCAGGGCATAAAGATATTTGTATCACAGTTCTGTTCCTGCAGACACAGGCCCTGGCAAGGCGTCATATTGAGGCTTTAGAAAAGCAAATCACCTTTGCAATGGAGAGTTATCATATGCCTCAATCACAAGTAGAAGCAAGCAGAGAAGCCAAGCAGGCTGGTGGGTGTCAGCAAAGCTCTGTCCAGACTCCAGGAAGGTACTGTGGGGTTTTGAAGCCTGGAGGTTACTCCACTGACAGATAAACATAGTGCACCTCAGCATAGAAGACTGTCTTGCTAGAAGGAGTGTGGGAACATGTAAGGACAGGTTTGTGGAGAGTTTCAACTGCTTTATCACACTTTACAGTTTTTCACCATCAACCTGTTGCTGTCTAGGCCTTCTCAGAAGACATGAGTTGGAGAGGGATTTGATGTTACTCAGGCTGGAGAAAACTGGAATAGGGGATAGCCAAGAGAAATGAGAAGAATGGTAATCTTCCCCAAGAGAGGAAATCTCTTCAGAGGTTGCTTAGACCCTAAAATTTGCATTCCTCCCATACAGGGATTATAGAACATACCGAATTTCCTTCCCTTTTGGCCACAGCAACCCAAGAATAATCAACACTAAGACAGCATGAGAAACCTTCAAAACTTGAGGCCCAAGGTGAAAATTGCTAACAGCATCTCCAGGACACAAAAACGATGGGCACTGCAACCAATCAGAGAAAAGCTGAGTCACTGAAGCCAAGGGGTCCTCATAAATTCCTTCGTGTTCACCCCTTCACAGCTCAGCCTCCTCAGGTGCATCCTGAAGTGTTCTGCTCTGTTGCCACCATGCTGCAGAGTTAGCAGTGCTGGGAGCAGGAAT